AGAGAGCACAGGAAGAGACAGACTCCTGTTTCCCTCCTCTCTGCACACGACTCCTGACCTCGTGTTCCTGTCCACAGCCTGCATGACTAACCAGCACAGCCTGCACTCCGTCTGAACTGGGACGGGTGGAAAAAAAAAAAAAAAAAAAAGTCCTGAACAGGAACAGTTGTCTTGTAACAAAGAACTCACCAGATGTTCCCAGGAATTAATGGAGTGGGAAAAATACAGATGGTGTAAAACGAATTTGTGCTGAATTTGTTTAGAAATAGTTTTACTTGCAAAACCCCAGTTTGAAGGATCTGCTCTGAACCCAACAACCTGAACCTCGACTGGAAAATGTTAATTTCTTGAGGTTTTTGGTTCAAGGTATAATGAACTGTGGTCAAGTTTTAATTTATTACAATCAGTCAATGCGTCATTTTACATTCATTAGACATCAACATCTCAATATTGTGTACATCTGTGCTTTGTTGTACCAGATGGAAGTCTTGCAGAGTCCACTCCTCTCCGGGACAGGATGGCCCTCTACCAAGCTGCCATCTCCAAACAGGACATCCCTCCCACCTCAGTCAGTGTGAGTTTTTTTGTGTGACATTTTAATGCTTTTTATAATACATTTGACAATAGAGAGACAACAGGAAATGAGAGGGGAATGTGCTGCAACAAAGGTCACTGGCTGGACTCAGAGCAGGAATGTTGTGTTTCACACTCAATGCTTATCATAACCTACCAAGATTTTCCACCAGGCAGATTGAATAGCTATTGGATATTTGAAAAAGCCAGATGTAAATGCAACCAAGACACATTTCAGACCAACACAGGAGGTGGTTTGACCTGCGTACTCGCCAGATGTTGAAAATGCATAAAGGCATCAGTCTCTCCAAGATGCATATGTTATCTTTACTCCTCCCATAGTGTAACTACATGAGTAAAAATGAAATTACACTGATATTAGACGTTGCTCTCTCTGCCGTATTAACCGTCAGGAAAAATCGTCTCGAGTGATTTCGATACATTCGATCGATCATGCAGAAGACACACGTTACCACCCGTTGCCCTCTGGACTGAAGGAGGTCTGATCTTGATTTTCATGTAGCTCGGGAAAACCAAGACAGATTACGATCAGATCTATGATTTTGCAAACAGAGGCACAAGGTCCTGAGCCGAACTCAAAAAAAGGGACATTGCATTTCACGGTCAGTGCCTGAAACCCCTAGGCCACAAGGACGCCCCAAGACTGCTTTATCTCTCAATATTTCCCTTTGCACACCGAGGCACAAGAGGCTCTAAAGCTTTCAAGGTGACTGCTTTGTGCTTTAGTCAAATCCAATCACCCAAACTAACTCTGGACTGGAGGCAGCCAAGATTCATCTCAGCATAGTGGTGTAAGCTAAGAAGCTCAGACAATCAAATTTTAAAGGATGAAAGTTCGTCATGTATGAAGCAGCACTGTGGGTTTAAGTGTTTTTTATAATTTGTCTCTCAACATCATATCTCGTCTCTTGTGTGTCTCTCAGAGTGATCAACTGGACAGTTTCTGTGGAAAGCAGAAGGAGAACGTCCCTCCGTGCACTCTGGACTTGGTGAGGAGTCTGACTTTAACAAAATGTAAAGCCTGTCACATTAAAATATGTGGCCGTTTGTGATGTAGATATTTTCTTCTCACATCTTCTCTCTTCTTGTTACAGAGTCCAGAGTCTGAGCCAAACAGCAGGAAAGCTTTTACTGCTGAGAGTGCTGGTAATTAAGTTTCCATGTCTTCATATGACTCTAGATGATAGGAATTTTCTCCTGTAATGAGTTCTCATTAGAGTAGATGTTCATGGAAAAACACCTTAAGTGTGGCAAAATTTAAGCACGTGAGGTTGATTGTTTAGTCTGTAGGAGTTCATCTCAAACCTTTATCCATAACATTATACTGTTATCCACTGCATAAAGTACATTTAGTACTAATTAGTATCAGTATTATTGTAGTATTAATCATTTGATAAGAACAGGAGTCATGTTTAATTTCTAAACTCTATCCATTGATTTATTATGGATTCCTGAGCATCTACATGTAAGTTTATGTGGAAAAGTCCAACGCTCTGCTTCTATTAAACACGAGAACAGCTCCCTCTAGTGTTCAGAAGTCGTAACTGCCTTTTCTTATCCTGGTTATTGTGTGATCCCACAGGCTCTGGTCCTGGCACCCCAGCATCCTCTAATCAGAAAGACTCGTCTCAGTCCAAGACTCCCAGAGTAAGTTATCACAGGAAACCTTCACATTGTTCACTTTAACACACATATTGACGATTTATGTGTGAATGAATGAATTAACTTTTTTTTTTTTGTGTGTGTGTGCAGAGCTTCCGGCTGCCGGTGAGAGAGACCTGTGTGTCGTGTCTGAAGACAGTTTATCCTCTGGAGAGGCTGGTGGCCAACCAGCACGTTTACCACAGCTCCTGCTTCCGCTGCTCGCACTGCAACACCAAACTCAGGTGAGGATGATGCAAAAAAAAAATTAAATAAAAATGATGTCCATATCACTGCCAACATGGCACAAGTCTGAACTGTTCTGCCACTAACACAAAAATGTGTTATTATAATCTTTTTATCACGAGCACAAAGAAAATAAAATCTGTTTAAAAAAATTAGGAAACACTATGAAAGAGCCAGTTGTTGCTGAGGAGATTCTTCTCATATCAGATCTATTTACCCTTGGGGCAAAAGTAACCACAATAAGCATCTGACCTCTCTCTCATTCATTCAATTTTCATTCAAGCCAACAACATGGATGAATAAATGAAAAACCCTTTAGACAAAGTGTGTGGTGATGGTCATTAATTAAGACTTGTATGACCGACACATTTTCAAAATCCTGTGAATGAACAACAGTCCTCTTCCATTGTAACTCACTGTTAACGTAAAAGACACGTACTGTTTGTCTTAATGAAAAAAGCCATAATAATGTCTGTCTATGTCTACATAGAAGCAAGACACCAAACAGAGTCTATGATGTATGTACCCCCCTCTTTCATACAGTCCCTAACTGTGTCTCCCTCTTTCATTCCTCTCCTGCGTAGTTTGGCGAACTACGCCTCCCTACACAACAACGTCTACTGCAAGCCGCACTTCTGCCAACTCTTCAAGGCCAAGGGCAACTACGACGAGGGTTTCGGCCACCGGCCCCACAAAGAGCTGTGGGAGGGCAAAGGTGAGGGAGGTGAGACGTCGCCACAGTCAAACACTCAGACCAAGCCAAAGACCCCAAGCCCAGCTCCGGCCTCCGACCTGGAAAGCCCCAGCGTGGAGGACTCCCCGCTGGCTAAAGTCAACGTGCTGATGGCCACTATGGAGGCTCTGGGACAGGGATCATCAGAGAAGGCTGACAGACCCACCGAGACCCGCCGGCTGAAAATCTCCTGGCCGCCGCGCACAGAGCCGGAGGACAGCCACAGTGGAGCCACAACAACCGCTGATGGGGGCTCTGCTGGTAAGCCCATCAAAGCCAAGTGGCCACCAGAGGATGAATCCCCCTCCTCACCCCCTGAACAGGCCAGAGAGATGCCCGGCCTGCGCCGCAGCTCCTCCCTGAAGGAGCGCAGCTTGCCCTTCACACTGGCAGGACAAACCGGGAACACTCCTGCTCCTGAGGCCAGAAAACAGAGTCCACCTCCTCCTGTGGACGACCGGCAGCTCAGCCCTGAACCCTCGAGCATGGAGCTGCAGCACGGCGGCCAGTCGTCAGAGAGCCAGACGCCAACCGAAGACAGCTGCGTGGACATTCACACCAGCTCAGGAGAGGAGGAGCAGGAGGGGGAGATGAAGAGTGAAGACATGACAGACCATCATCTCACCCAGGATGAAGACCATGCTCCGAGGGGACAACCTGAACCTGAGAACCAGGAGGAGGAAGAGGAGGAGAAGATGGAGGAGGAAGATGGAGGTGTGTTGGAGGAGATGCCAACGGAGCCCACAGCCATCTCATCTCCTGAGGGAGAGGTGGAGGCCAGCCGCTCGTCTCAGGATGTGGGATTCTGGGACAGCGAGGAGGTGGATGACAAAGGGGAGGAACAGCAGGAGGTCCTCACGGTGGAGGAGATGATCAAACGAAACCGATACTATGAGGACGAAGAGGGGGAAGAGGATGTATAAACCTCTTGGCCAACAAGATGATCATGAACGCTTACAGGACTTCTAAACATTCCCTCTTTCTTTAGACGTATTCTTCTTCTTCTCTTCTTAAAAGAGAACTGCTGCAGTGTCTAGTGTGAACTCTACTGAGCTCTTTATTTGTGCCTCTTCTAACTGTTTTTCAAAAACATTTAAAGCCATTCCTACTACATAGTTTTTACAAGACTGTTGGGAGATCGTGTCGCTCCGACATAATTTGTTTTTTTAAAAGTCCAATATTTAAAATCACGGCCCATGTTATGAATATTTTTAGAACAGAAATGTCAAAAAGGTTGTGACACATAGAATAGATGTTTTATTTTTGTGTACACAACTGTTGTAATTTTCTAATTTCATTGGATGCCTCGTAATCCGTTATGAATACCAACTACAGGGTTTTTTTTTTTATCAAACCAAGATGTGGGAAATTTACAGCTAATGTGTCTCTTGTCTCTTCATGTAGTTGTTTATTGGGCATGCTGAGAGCAATTAGCACTGTTTTGGGAAAACACAACACTTTCTTCTTTCCATTTTTATAAATAGTGGGCTTGGTGAGTTTTGGACAGTGTCTGTAGAAAATAAATCTGTCACTTTACTTTCAGTTGCCATGCACACAGAAAAAAATACACTTCTTTGCTCTTTTGTTTCCATTTTGACGACTTACAACTGGATCTGAATAATGTTGTACTGTTGTTTTTAAAAGCAGGGGACCAAATATCCTAGATTGCTACTGTTTAAATAAATTGTTATATACTAAACATGTTGAGTGAGTCACTAATCCTGTGGGAATGTTTTCATGCTAATACTCTGCCTACAGACCTATAGTATTAGACACAAAGAAATTTGAGATGGCAAACTATTCAACAAAAACTGCAAACCAAACTTTTCAATTCAAAATATGACTGATATAAAGAGCTACAATGTGAAATACAAAAAACGTTTTGCATCTCATAATTTCTTGCATTTTACATTATAGCTTTTTGTCATAATGGAATGAAAATCATTTTGGTTTGCTTTTCTTGTTGATAGTTTGCGAGTCCACATTTCTTTGCAATTTTATTAATGGACAAAATTCATCTCATAGACTTACCTTCTGGAAAAACACGCAGAGAATGTTTTCTGTGAATGTAGGTGAATCCATAATTAACAACTTTGTGTTTAACTGCAGACTAGATTTTATAAGAAACTTTATGAACAGATTATGAACATTTTTAAATTCATTATTACCAAATAAAGGATAAACACCAGCTAGAGGGATTTTCCACAACCTGGCAACCCAAAAAACTGATTCTTATTGGCTCATAACTGATTAATGAAGCATCTATAAAATAGAAACCTTAATTATAAATCACAACCTTTGAACCCTTTATAAACGGTGACATATCAGAGAGTGGTACCAAATTCAGGCTCAAAAACATTGGAGCTACTTGGTCAAAATTTTAGAACATTTAAAATAAAACAATACACAACTTTGTTACATTGCTGAAACCTTTATTGATGATCATACATGTACTGAACAAGGCCATTATAGTGCAAGTCGGCGAGGGATTATTATTACAGGAGTCCTTGGTGAGTACGTTTGAAGACACTACAAAACTTTTAACCAGATTTAGCTCTAATTTGGTTGAAAGGTGTCATTTTTTGTAAACTGAGATTCTGAGTAAACTTAAATATAAGTGACTTTAATACCCTGAACTTAGATGTGGCCGAAATGTCCACATCAGTGTCGCATTAATATCTTTGCACTGTCTAGCTTAGGTTTTACAGTTTAGGCTGTAACAACCTGTACTTAAGTCTCTATCCAGCCCTGCAGGAGAAGAAAAACAGACTGATTCACATTTTTTAACATGTCTATACAGATGACTCTAAAACAAATGCATGACAACAGCTAAAAACAAAACATACAATCTCCAGCAGATATGTGATTTGACAGTTAAACCCTGTGTCGTAATTTTACAGCATGTTATATCTCTAGCATTACTGTTTGCAGTATCCTAGTCTATGAATGATGCGGTTTGTCCTCAGGCCAAAACACTACAAAAACCTGCTGCATGCACCTTACAGGAAGGTACAGAGGAATGTACATTAAAGTTACAGGGCTGCTGATGTTGTAATGGACAGATACAGATGTGCGGATGCAGACAAAACCAATTTGATGAAGATTTTGGTTAACCGATTTAGCTAAAAATAATAATAATAATAATAATAATAATAATAATAATAATAATAATAATAATAATAATAATGTTGGTATCATTCCCTTTAATCAAACAGAAGAAAAAAAAAATCATCACTCAGAATTATTTGTGTGGAAACCAGCTCCCACTTACACAATATGACAAACCCAACAGTATTTCTCATTCTCCTACACAGATTGCTTCAGCTTTTGGGCCTGTATCACGAAGAAAGTTCAACTCTTTGGGGGTCGCCTGTTTAACTGAGCCAAACATCTGTGATACTGGATAACCGTTATTTACTAAACTGGAACTGTTAAAGGGGAACTAAACCAAATGTACACATCAAAGTCTAGTTATAGGTCTTCTGGAGTCCCGCTGCATATGTGGAAAAAAAAGTTCATGTTCTGTGGCTCCAGTGGGAGACGAGTGAAATCTGATAACTCCCTAGAAGTTGGATGGGTCTGAAGTCTACGAGTTTGTAGACGGTTAGAAACAAGTGAATTTACCAGACCTGTGTAGCCCACTCCTTATCTTTATGTGAGGTTAGCAGCTCAAAGCATGACACACCTGGATCTGAACAAACTATCAGTGGTTGAGTTGCATTGTGGGTAATATAGGCACCAAGTTTTGAGAAAAAAGAACGCATGGAATAAGAGAGACGATGGGCATGATGCAAAAAAAAGTATATACTTCGTACGAGTTTCAAGTCAGATTCTTAGCTGCACAAACTTGTAAATAATTATTTTCATCTCTACTTTTTAAATGTAGTACTATTTTAGTACCTATATATATATATATATTTACAAAACATAAACTGTCAGTAAACTGGCAATATCATGTTTGAACTCCAAATAATTCTGATTAAGGTATTATGATCCTTATGTAAAATCAGTGTTTTTTCCCCTGTGGTGAAAAGCAGAGCATCTGTTCATGATTTCTGGACCACTCGTAATTTCCAATCGTAACCTAAGAGAAAATTTGAAATACAAGAAAATTCTCTTAAGAACAAATTTGTTGTGATTAGACTGAACAGAAATTACTGCTTGACTAGGTCAATCCTCCTGAAATGTTGCATGTATAATTTAAACAGCTAATTAACAGGCTGTGCAATTAATATGAAGCTATAATAATCATTCATTAGCCTGTTGGTTGTAATCCATCTCTCCCTTGTTAGAACCTCAGTTTTAAACCCAGAGTAGACACATGGATCAGTCTTATGATAAATTAAGTTTAAAACTTTTGGGTTTTAGACTGTTGATTGGACAAGTTATCTGAAAACACCCACTTGGGTTTTAAGAAATTGTAACATATTTTCACCCCTTTCAACCAATTGATGAAGAAAATAATTGGCGGATTAATCAATAATGAAAATAATCATTAGTGGCACTTTCTTCTATCTTTGTCATAATTATCATGTAAGCAATACATAAAAATGTTTCTGTTCTTTAAAACTCGCAGCTGTTGTAAACTCTTCGTCCATGTTTGGATTCTGAAGGAATGATGACTTCAATTTTCCAGTGATCTGATTGGCTGGCAGTCGGACTATTTTGACCAGGTTCTGCTCTGGTTACAAATGAGCCGGATCTACTGTTTTCTTACATCTCAAGATAATTAAATTGATAACTTTTGGGTTTTAGACTGTTGACTGGACGAGCTACAGTGGGGTCAAAGGTCTGAGACCACTTTCCCAAATGGGAAAGTCCCTCTCCATCTACAAAACCTGAGCTAATCCCAAAGATATCTGGATAACCCCACTAATCTCACTTTGTGATACAGGCCCCTGGTGCTGCTGTCATATGCTGGAACACAAGCACTTTTTTTTTTTTGTTAAACCACATGCAGCAACCAAACATCATTGTCTTTTTACTTAAAAAAAAACATCCAGCAGTTAATAATACACCACATATGGCATCACAGAGAGGAAGTTATGTTCTGACTGGAAAAGCAAGAAATTATTTTGAGCAGATATTTTCTGTCTCTTGGCTCTTAAGCAGTTTTTAAGCTAAAAATAAATATCACATCATTCTAGCTTTAAGGTTAAAACTGGAAAAAAAGGAAAATTAAAGTAGAAAATAATCCTTCATATGGAGAGCTAACATGCACAGAGAGTAAAACCTCTACAAATGGAAATGTCAAAATAACAGTATAACACATTACAGTATGACAGAATCCAATTCAATAGCCCTGAAACTGATACTTCTGTGTGAGGTGCAAAGGTAAATTTTATTTTCAGGTGTGTATTGAACACGATGGTTATTTTTTATGGCTGTAGTTTGTTATGTTACACTGGATTCCATAATATAAGGTGTTCCTGTTATTTTGTCCACCCACTGTATGCATGTCTTCCTTTAAAGTCTCCTCATGTTCATTCATGTTCTAAAAGAAACAAAAAAAAAACAAACACATTCCCTGAACTTTTGAAGTAGAAGATAAATTTAAATGTGTATTTTGCAGATTCCTTGTAGAAAATATACCTGACACGTTCATTTACTCCGGCTCCAACGTGAAACTATAAAATACTCACAAATCTATTCATCCACTCTTAGGAAACGTCTGATTCTGATGCTGCTCAGGAGCAGAATCGTATGTTTGGTAGTGATTACTAAAACTTGTAATAATCCTCTACAATAATCAGATCCAAAATGAAATATTGAAACAGATCCACTGTTCACTTCCAGCCAGCTCCAGGAGAGCAGTGAGGGAGTTTGGGGCAACAGCAGGTCCCTGATCGCTCACAGGAGGGCAGCCTCACCCAGAAAGAGGGGACAGGGAGAGAGAGGTTGAGAAAGAGACAAAGAGAGAGAGAGAGAGGGAGAGAGGGAGAGAGAGAGAAAGGGAGAGGGTCTATTCCCTGAAACATAAAAGTGCCAACAAGCTCTGACTCGGCACAACTGTTGGCCTCGCTCTGCTTTGCTTGGGGTCGTGACAAATGAAATAAACCAAGCGTGCCAGACCTCATGAGCGGGATTTAACAGCGCAGTGTTTCAGAGACACGCTGCATGCAGACGGAGGTTAGATGAGAGGATGATAGCAGTGCAGATTGCATAGTATTATCGGTTAAATGTCTCTCAGGAGTCATTTACTCCTGCACACTGCACGCTGTTAACCTACACAGCTCATGTAGGATATCTATCTCTCTCTCTCTGCTACTTTACAACCAGGAGAAGGGTCTGGTTGTGTTTCTGTGATGATTGTGAGATGTACACAATGTACTATACAAGTCTTATAAATAAAAGCCGGGGGTAGTGTCGAGGAAGACGACAGCGACGTGCATGTGTGCAGCTGAGCCGAGTGTGCTCTGGCGAGTGTTAGCAGCATGCTAGGCTACTGTGGGTGAGCTCTACAGTGCAGCCAGCTGTTTGCAGGGCATCACAAGTCCAGTCCAAACTCTCAGCTCATCCACTGAGAGGATGTAAATCCACCTTCACCTTCTCTCCGCTGCTTAGCATTCCCACGGTGGGGTAGAGGCCACCGGGAGGAACCACCATCTCCCTCCGGCCCATTAGCTTCCCGTTCCTCGTGAAGAACACCTGCAGCACCACAGGGGGGCGACAGTGAGTTAAAATACACAAACATGAGCTTTTCAGTGAAGGTAAACCCCCCGATGGAGCATTGGAGCAATTAGTCAAGAAAGAAAAGTCCTTCATAATGACTGATACTAATACAAACTTCATTGGAGAGTACTCAGTGTGTCACTTGTAAATAGGAATTATGTGCAGTTAGGAAATATGGTTTAAAAAAAATAGGTGACAGTGTAATGTCTGTCTTCTTGGGGTGGGGTGGTGGTGGGGGGGGAGTCAATGTTTACAGTACATGTCTCTACTAAATCAGCGAGTGATCAAACATTATCCAGCTGTTCTCAAAAGAACATCAACAAGCTTTTCAATGCTAATACTGAGGGCTTCTTTCCAAGTCTGAGAACAAATACCGACATACTAAAACAACAAGTGAAGTACTGTGGAGTGTGTGTCTACGATAAATCAGGCTGAGTCACATATCAAACATTTACTGTGCCACCCACTCTAAAAAGAAAGGCTTAACCGCTATTCAATTACAGATGAAGGGTAAGTGAAACTGCAACAGGCTTCATTAGTTTGAACAACACCGGCAGTGCGGCAGTACAGTGTGTGCTGTGGGTCTCTATTGCGCGCGCACACACACACACACACACACACACACACACACACACACACACACACACACACACACACACACACACACACACACACACACACACACACACACACACACGCGCCCCCCCCCAGCACCCCTCCACACGTGCAGCCGTGCCCATAGAGGCCTCTGTAATGTTATGGAGCAGTGCACTGAGGGTAATATGTCCTGCTGAATAAATATTGACAAATCCCTGGATTATGATTCGGCCTGTTCTATTCTCACCCACTTGGGTTTCAGTACCGCGTGCTCTCACACCCGCTCAATGACCTCCGTGGCCTCTGCTTGCACAACTGCACAGGCAAGTTTGCCCGGCAGCTATGAGTCAAGACAAAGTGAAACCGCAGTAATTAAAACCATCACAAACAAACAACGGTTTGAGCATGAAGCGGTTAGATGATTAGCGAGTGCTGTGCTGAAGTTTTAGACACTAATGCTTTCAAAAATAATGCCAGAAATAGCTTTTAATTATCTAATGACTTCATGCAAAGAGCAATAAACAGAAAATAATCAAATCAGTATCTGGTGTGACCACCTTCTGCCTTTAAAACAACATCAGTTCTCAGTTTTTCAGGTATCTGGCAGGTAAGTTGTTCCAGTCACCTTTGAGAACCTGCCACAGTTTTTCTGTGGATTTAGGATTTAGTCTCGGTGTCTTCTGTCTCTTCATGTAATCCCTGACTGACTCTATGATGTTGAGATCAGCGCTCTGCGGAGGTCTAGCCATCTGTTGCAGGACTCCTTGTTCGTCTTGTCTCTGAGGATAGTTCTTTATGAATCCGGCTGTGTGTTTGGGCTCCTTTGGACTCAATCTGACGCCTCGCTGATGGTGTTGTGTGATGGATAAGAATCTAAACATCTAAAAGAGCCTAAAACTTTTGCACAGTGTTGAACATTACAGTGAGGTTCAGTGAGATTGGCCGCTTGTGTGGATTGCCATATAAAGATCACAGTGACGGTCTCACAGGAGCCATGTTACACCAGAATATGAGGTCAATCATTATGATGCAAGTCGCTGAAGTTTCTGCCCTTGTAAGTCATGTAAAATAATTGCTGTTATCCTGCTGTGTAGTGCACTCCATGAAGAGTTGGCAAAAAAAAAAAGTAATATATATTAACGGTACGTCATGGAGTTTTTTTGAACACTGATAGTGATAGAGCATAATGTTGTTACAGGTGGGTCTCTGGTTGTTCCTGTGCGCACAGAGCACGTACGCGACAAGACAGACTCTCCCACTGATCTACAGGTGGCAGTAACGAGCCAAGAAACACAGCAATGTGCCCACAAAGGAGTGAAGGAGAAGACTGCTAGCAATTAATCATGGATGTAAACAATGCAGTTTTTAAAATGCTTCGAAAATTTGTCTGGAAATGCATTTAGTGCGTTTGTTAGTCCTCTCGGATACACAAAACATGCTGTGGTGAGTAACAGTGAATGTAAACAGGAACAAAATAAGATGAGAAATAAATAAGAAAAAAATCCACAGGGCACCTTGCATTTTATTTGTGCTTCAACTCTTAATGTAGTTCCTTTAAAACAACTCAACTTTAAATCAATCTGCTGTAAATCCATCATGTGATTTTGTTGCACTGTGTGTGTCACACCTCATTTTAAAAGCATCCTGTCTGGTGGTTAGTAATTAGTAAGTCAGCTGGCTTTATAAATATTATAATCAAGTCAGGCCTTTTTTAAGGAACTACATTAATGATTATTAGAGTGCCTTGGTTTAGCTTAGTTTGTTTATCAGGCTGATTGACTACTTATCAAGCAGTGGTCAGCTAGCTACCTACCAAGATAGCTTGATTGCAAGCTAATAAATTACAGAACTAAACTTAAAAATGTAATTTCACAAACGTTGATAAAAACCAGATATGTAACAAAGCTTTATAAACTATATAAATGTGACTGTGGAGAGTCGACTTACCATTCTCCCAGTGCTTCTCTACTCCTCTTGTAACTAATAGTTTTAATGAGGCAATCAAAAATACATTTTCAAGATTGGCTGGCACAGATTGTGGCACAGTGTAACCAGGGATACCACTAGCGCCAAAAACTTCGGTACCAAGTCGATGCCAAAATTCGGAAAACGTGACTCTACTTTTTTTTCTACACCATCACAGGTACTGGAGGTACTGTAGATGTCGTACATGTTGTAGGTATTGGACATGTGATTCTTGGGGAGCAGCATAACAACCCAGCAAGAGTTCTAGTCTGACGATGACGACGACGACAACAACACGTGGAAAGGCGATGGCAAGTGCAGGTGCAGCAACAGGTCCACTGCATTCTTGTCGAAAAGAGTCGTGTATGGAGATATTTTGCATTATTATTAACACCCCAAAGCCAATAGATAATAATCTATGTGCTTTCAAAAAATCTTTTCTTCATGCTCAAAATGTCAGACTCAGGACTGATGCACAAATATAATTTCATAACACTTTGGCTATTTAGGATATAGACACTGTATAAACAGAATGGAGATGTAAGGATGTGTCCATCTGTAGCTTAAAGTTTGACTGTTGTGATGCTGCACTTTAAAGCATCTCCATATACCTCCCCCTGACTATGTATTGTACTTACCTGTATAGATATACAGTTTTATCCTATAAATTGTCTCCTAAACATTTTAACGTAGTTTCAATTTACTCTTCAAAATCTCCAGGTTAATCTGGCTGCTTCTGCTGCATTCACAGAAACTCAGTAGAATAGGATGTTCAGGAAATCCGCCCCCAATTCCGGCTCGGGAGCGGTCACACATAATTTTAACCCCTAATGTTCACATTTGTTCAGTTACTTATCTGTTGCGGTAGTAGTGTAGTGAAAATCAGACACAAACAGTTAATGATTCCTTCTAAATTTGTTGAATTGATGGTGTCAGTGTTAAAACTGGATTTTACTTTGCAGCCATTTTGCCACATATTTGTCGACATGTCTGTAGCTGTGAGAAATTACAGTCTGAACAATGACATGAGTGTAGCATTACAGACCCAGTAACAAGCTTTTAAAACAGAGCTCATGCTGTAAAAACTGTAACCCACTGTTATCCTCTGTTGTCATCTCCACATGTATGATGTTCCCAGCAAAAAAGCTCTGATGAAAACCCTCTGCTCACTGCCTGCTTAGCACCAAACAACAGTGACTAGTTTGTGAGCACAATGAAGAATTTAGCAGAATTTAGCAGCTAAAGAGCCAGAAATTTCCCTCAGGAGTTGGCGGAGACCAAATCCCAGCTAAAGTGATTCAATGCAACATTCATTAGTCCAGATGGATCCTGATGTTGCTCTGTCGGCTGCATGTCTATATAAGAAACTCTTCACTAAGTCTGCCAGACTCGATTTATGAGATGATGATTTGTCAAGTATGTGTTACAGCTTGTTACACTGCCCCCTAATGGCCATGCAAAATAAACTGTGTGTACAATACATGTATGTGTAGCGAGTTAAAGCAGCTGTGTTAGAGTATTCCTCACCGTGACCTTCCTTCCCTCCTGTCCCTGCTCTGCCTCTTCCCCATCTTCCTCTTCCTCCTCTTCATCGTTGAGGTACAGAACGTTCTGGACACCTGCGTGACCCGGACGGACCTCCAGCCGCTCCCAGTCGTCCATGTCACCTGAGGACAAAAATGGAGCACAGCGTGTTTGAGAGAAAGGCATTCATGTGCAAGCAGAGCAGAGCGGAGGAGACACTGAGCCACAGGTTTATTAACTGATGAAATACCAAGCGAAGTAACACAGTGTGGAGGAGGAAGACTGCAAAACATGTTCATTAATACCACAAAATGAGATGTGTAGCCTTATTAGTGGGCCCTCGTAAGGTCAGATGACATTAGATGCTGTCTTGTGCTGTCTGTAAATTTGATTATTGCAGTACTTCTGAATTGTTATTACATGTTTGGTTATTTGAAACTGATGCACTGACATCACCTGAGATCAGGAAAGTCCATATTTGTCTCTCTTGGAAAGGATGGGGGATAAAAATTTTGCCTTTCAGTGACTGCTCAGTTTTCCATGCGGGGGACCTTGGTTCACATCCAGTTTCTTTCCCACAATGAACTCTGTTAATACCGACTGTTGCAGCAACTGTCTTATGCTAAACCACGGTAATCAGGTTTAAGAGCGAAACCTCCCACGAACATGTCAACCCGCTTTAATGAATGACAGTGTAATTGTACCACCTGAACCCGGTGCCCTCACCTTCTCCATCCAGGATGTAGTCTCGTGGGAACATGATGCCGCAGCCCATGATGTCACCTTTGAAACAGCGAGGACCAAAAGCGTCTCCGACCCCGCTGCCGTGAAAGATCTTCCCATCGTCTGTCAGAGAAGAGGAGTGAGACAGAACTATGTTTGTTAACCTGTGAGCAGAGTTCCTCCAAGTTAGATTTAATTTAATACCACATAGAGTGCAAATAAATACCTGTTTTCACAATCAAAATGGCCTATAGATATTTATTGTTATATCACATAGTATATAACATTAAATCCTAATGATGTGATGAATTAAATTAATGCGACCTGGAACAGATATGTGGCATAAAAATGATTAATGGTTTAACCAATTAAAAATGATCAATTAATTTAAGTTTGTTTCAGCTTTTAGCTAAAAGCAACACTTGTCCATTATGAAGCAATGAGCTTCATAGCTGCTGTAGCTGCTGTAGCGACAGTGTTTGCTATAGGCCTGGGGCCCGTTTCACCAAATCAGAAACATACAAGCTGCTACTTGCAATATGTGATCACTTCCTCCAGCAGCAACCTTGACATGTTCAACTAATCAAAAGAAACACCATACTTGGGACCCATGCATGAACAGGCGAGAGCAGGACACAAATTTATTTGCAGGTGACTACAAGCCATTTGCATGTGACAGTCATTTGTAAACAGGACGCTGTCACTAATTGCGACCTACGTGTAAGTAGTGCTTGCAAATCGCTTTTGTTGAACAGACCCCTGATGGTGCTGATTGAAACTCCGCAAGAAAGGACTGAACAGCCTCCTGTAGCGCAATCCACTGTCACAACAATCCCTCTTTCAGTTTATAAGTGTATACACATACAAAAATGTTTTACAACTAACATTACTACCACCAGCGCGCAAGAGGAAATATTTTCTAAATTAAATTAAACCCGGTTGAGGAGACTTTTTAAATCGTTTCAAGACCTGTGTGAGGTCATTTTTGCTTTTCTGTTATGTGTGTCATTGCTGAACTTCACGTTTAATGTATTTACCACAATGTGCAACATGTGTACATGCAATGTAGCACTAACATACAGGACATCCTGACATTCCAGTCAGATGATGATGTGTAAAGGTGAAAGCAGAGCTAGCAGAAAAAAAAAAAAGACATCGACAACATCCAAAGGAAATCATCAAAACAACACATACTACAGTTGCGAGAGACAACAATGGAAAAAAAGGGCAAAAGAAAAACATTGCAGAGGTAGCCTGCAGACGAGCTCTCCTCAAGCGAAGCGGCGTGGCTGCTGCTGGTAAATATTTATGGAGTTGTCATGGGACCCGTCCCCGGCTCAGGATACTGTTTAAACAATCTCTATCTGAGCACCAGGAGGGAGACGGAGACACTGTATCATTACGGCTCCCATGCGGGCCCTTGTCACAACACCACACACCAGGCAAACAGTGGAGCCACGCCGGCACAGGCGCAGCGTGGCTAAAAATAGCAGAGCCCGGCCTTTGGAGAGTGACAAGGACTGGCGCTGGAGGTGAGCTGCGGTGTGGAAGTCCAGGTTTGGGCCTATGGATGGAGCTAGTTGACCGGGACAGTACAAGCAGGAAAAGCCTGGTGGAGCATAAAGGGCTGGGGCTGGAGGGATGTTACCTAAAGCAATGAGGAACTGGAGCACTTTTTCTTATTACATTGTATTTATAGATCCATTGACTCAAACTACAATCATACAATACAAAATTCATTGACAAGCTTTTAATTATGTTTTAAAAAAAACTTTTACTTTACTTACTTTAAACAAATGTCTGTAAACACACAAACTCTTTTCTGTTTAGTGTTTACTACTGTTTCTTTCATGAGTGTCCTGTGTATTTAATACATAATGACATTTAGGCTGAAACAGTTTTAAAAAAATTAATTACCAACAATTTTGATAATCAATTTAACTCATTTATTAAGCAATACATTCTCTGCTCACAGATTCTCAATTTTCTATCTGTTTTATATTTCACTGCAGATTGAAAATGACAGTTAATGAGACAAAAAAAAAAAGATCTGGGCACTTGTGATGATTTTCACTGTTTTCTGACATTTTGTAGATTAAACAAGCCACTCCAGAAATGTAGTATTGTACTTCAATACATTTGGGAGACTCACAAGCCACAGACTTAAAAAAACAAAAACAAAGAGTGGTTACAACTAAAGCTGTAGGACTTTTAGTCACTAATACAGGTCAAGTTCCAAACATCATCCCACTACCTCCTAAATGCCGCTCGTCTTTTTTTAAACTCAAGAGATCACACAACTGCTTTCATTGGCTGAGTATTACTCTTCAATACAAATTAACTGAACTTCATGTGTAAAGTCGGTGGAGTGTCCATGAGTTTAATCAATTACTTGGAAGAAATAAACTATTCATTAATAGACAATGAAAATAAATTAGTTGCAGCATTAAATTATAAAATGTTCTGCATGGTAAAAGTTTAAATAATCTTGTCATAAAAAAGTCTGTTTGTTCTAGTAGAAAGTAAAATTCATTCTGGGAGGCAGCTGTCTGAGGCTATTTTTGTTTTTGAGCATACAATAATAGTTCTGTTGCTTTTTTTCAAGTGTGCTTTGGTACTAAAAAGGGTGGAAATCGATATACGGGAAGCAGGCTCAATTTGGAGCTAGGATGTGGCGGAAAATGTTAAAATTTGTGTTGGAGACTAGAAAGTTTAAAATTAGCAAAGAGGTGTTGACCAATGTTTGGCTCCGAGGCTAGTGATGGAGCAGGAACCTGGTGATGGTGTTAATGCAAAAGTCCAGATGATAAGAGTGAGGCATTTGTTGGTAAGAATAACAGAGACCTTGACCGCCACCAGGTGCTGGATTTAAGGTTCATCCTTGGAGCAACAAGAGGGTGAAAACTGGATCTGATTTTAGGGTTTGGAGTCTGGCCCACAGGAGGAAAGGGCAGGAGGCTCTGTGGCTCCAGCTAAGAGAACCTGGCTGAGGACTGAGACCAGCTGGGAATAGGAAAACAGGCTTTCTCGTAACATGAGAGTTTGTCTGGAAAAGACTGGGCTTCCCTGCCCAGGGAACAATGACTACACAGACTCCTAAAACATGAAAAATTAAAACAAAATATTTATATTCTTCCATGATTCCACACATGTTCATGAGAATTTACTATAAATTCCATCTGCAGCTGCCATGTGAGTTTATCACTAACAAAGTGTTAAGCTGTTCATATATAATATACAGTTTACTTCCTGGGCCCATTTGCCAGGCCCCAGCTATTATGTATATGCACAGTACATTTAAATAATCTTCGGTCGGACCTACTGCAGAATGAAGTGGTGCAGCATGAGCAGCAGATTTTCCGGGCCATGAGGCACTACAGACTCTACAGGTACATGGTACTGGTGCAGTTACTGTCTTCTGTACTGGCTGTAGCCTGTACGTTGGTGCTGATGAGACATACAACAAAATTATATTGTTAATTGATTTAAACTTAAGTAAATGATAAGAAAAGTTAAAAACTTAACCGTCAGTCATTATGGTAATTGACTGATCCAAGTAATTTTTTATGCAAAAATACCAAAAAGTCTCTCGTTCCAGTTTCTCCAGTGTAAAGAGTGGCTTTTCTTGGACTGCTGGTCAGACAATTGCGATGAGCAATTTCCCTATTATTATCTTATATTTAACAAAGCAAATAATTAATTAATCGATTAATGGAGGAAATAATCTGTAGATTAGTGAATAATGAAAATATTCATTACTTGCAGCCCTGATTCCTTTAGTTGTGTGGTGACACCCACAGTACAGACACATGGTCTGGGCACATGCTCAGTTCATCTGGCTGTAACGTGCATTTACCTGAACCTCCTTGTGCCTGTAAGTGTTACAGAGACGACGTCATCCAAATCCATTTTTGTCCCATTAGGTAAGAAGATGATATTATCGCCCTGCACAACATATTGCTATTGAATAATTGTTTTTGTAGAACCTGAGCTGGAATCAGATTAGATCCTGTCACTGATATACAACATAGAAGTTAGACTGAGCCCTATTATCTTGTGTTGGCTTGGTGGTGAGGGATGGATGGTGGCGGTGGTGGTGGGGCACAACCTTCAGCTGCGGGTGTTGAGTCATAGCACGTGTGAGTCACTGATGGGGGTGTGGAGGGGGTGACAGGGTTAATGAGGCTTGCTGAGGAGCACTCACTGGTTGGATGGCTGGTTGCTCCTGATAGGGCCCACAGGGGCCCACAGGGGCCCGCAGTGCCCCATGGCCCATTAACTTGCGGAGCCAACGTGAGCCAACACACAGGATGGAGGTCCGCGCTGGGCCAGCTCCCAATACAAACACTGGTAGTAACACCAGCTCAGGCCAAAGAACTCTCAAACTATATAAGCTATACAAAGGAGTAGCGATAGGGTTGGCAGGCATTTGTGTATATAACTGGAATATATCTGGATATGAAGTAAAATAACAACCTCAAAAGTCAGTAATACACATCTCATGTGATCCAGGTCAACACTGGTCACGTGCCCAACACAACGCAGCATAAATCAAGGTGACAGAAACAGAGCTCAGTAGTCAAACTGTACATGCACAGTATAAATAAGAAAAGGACGAACGTTGCACTGAATCATTATGTAATTTATGTATTTGCCTCCAGGCTGCATAATATAACTCGAGAACCTATCTTAAGCCACGGTAACGATAAAACCATTACAAATACTCACAGTGGACTAACCAACAGCATGGGGTACGATAATGATACAACAGTGAGTTTACACAGTCTATATGAAGCTAACACCTGCCAAGAATATCCTGGCACATATTTGCCCTTTTCAATACTAAGGTCAAATACAAAAACTAACCATTAATGCTAATAAACAGAGGCACCACTTGTCATAGGAACAGCTTTCTTGGCTCGCACCGAGCAGGAAAACCAAGGTAACAAAGCAGAAGTAATTTGTTCTTACAGCAATTTCTGCTGTGGTTGTATGACCTGGTGTATATAACACTATGTATACATTAAGTTTTTGTCATCCTGCCAAAGAGCATCGGCCTTAAATTCTTGAGGCTCCTCAGCTGTTCAGTGAAAATCTCAAATGCGTACAGGGACGAGGGGAGACGTGAAGAAGAGGCCCCGGCTGTTGATTTTAAGTAGCTGGATCAGACCCTGCACTTTAACCCAAGCATGGGAAGGCAAACCTCATACACACAGCGTGGAAAACCACATACATCATTTTAGTCTCTAACAAATAAGATTAATGGGAGCTGTGCTGGGGCGTGCACATTTCTGTGGTGTCCAACGCACAGCAGCCAAACCAGGCAGACCGCAGCGCTAGACCTCTGGGACTGGCATGGTGAGCCTCTGTGAATGACTGGTCTCGTCTGTCACTCAGCAATGAGGCATCATCCGCAGACCCCGGCAGGACACCCAGCATCAACTGTTATTATTATTAATGTATCTCAAGTATAAATGGAATCTGCAAAGGGATACGGGGATTTAGGACTATAAACATCAACTCGAAACATGAATGGAATGTGCGGAGTGAACAAGAAAATGTGTTTTGATAGCTGATTTAGAGGTCAACTGGAAGAAAGTATATAAACCTTCCTCTAAAAATAAATTCATACACATTTCCTGGTGGAAAAACATAGACAAAAAAATGGCATTTGTGGCGTGTGAATCATTCAGAGTAAGAGCAGCTGAAATCTCCTGTGAGAGAGATTAACAATGGGATACTTCAGACGACCAAAATAATGTTGATAAAAGCCAGCAAGCTCCTAACTGCTTCACTCAGATAAGGACTAACAAGATCTTGACTGTGACAGTGGATTTCCAGATAAAGACTCAGCTACCCACCGTAGCTTGTACGGTGTAATAACAACCACCTACCTACTGTAGCTGCCGCTATTCTCATATCATGGCAGCAGCGTTTGATAGCTAATCTCTTAGCACTGATAGCGAGGGATGCTGAGGCCTGGAATGGGTGCTGTAGGGGGGTTTGTGCAGATGCCTGTGCAGATAATGCTCACAGGCCTGTGGTCACAAACAACCAAGACTGAACGTGTGTGTGGAAGCATGGGAAGATAAAGATAACTCAATTTTTTTGTGTGTCTTTTTGGTTCATCACTTAGAGAGATATTTAGATCCACAAACTCCCACAGAAAGAGATGGAGATTTGATCCTCCTCCTTTTTCTGATGCTGTCACCGTCTCTTTTATCTGCCTTCTGTCCTTTTCATCTACCTGCAATCCTCCTTGATCTCTGTTTGTGCTAGGCACCTTAACATCCAGCTGAGGCGGTGCCCTGTGATGTTTGCATCTAAAGGCAGCAGATAGATGCTTTAGAGGAAGTATATCCGATTCATGTATTTCATTGAAACAAGACTACAGGGGAATTCCACATGCACAAAGGAAATAGCACACACACTTATACAAAAGAAAGAAAGACAAAGAGAAGAATAAGGTTGAAATCTCACCTGCATGGTAAGCCACTGACCCTCTACTCCATCCCGGATGTCTGTTCCTTGGGTAGTCCTGCACAGACAACAACAGATACACAGGTCAAAAATACACAGTCTCAGTTTACATGATTGGTTTTAAACCTATGTGATATGGACAGTCAAGAACATGCAGGTTTTTGCTCACTCAAAAACTAAAAAAGGCAGAGATCTGTGAAGGATACAAAAAAGATTCTGCTGCATTTAAAGTTCCCAAGAGCACACTGGCCTCCATAATTCTTAAATGGAAGAACAACTAAGACTCTTCCTTGAGCTGGACGCCCAGCCAAACTGAGCAATCAGGAGAGAAGGGCTTTGGTAAGAGAGGTGACCAAGAACTTGATGCTCACTCTGGCTGAGCTCCAGAGATCCTTTGTGGAGATGGGAGGAACTTCCAGAAAGACACCCATCAAAGGTCTTCAAGAACCTTAAGCAAGTCCAGTTGCCTTTGTATAGCTCTAAGAGATAGTTCCTTTAATGAAAACCTGGTCCAGAGCGCTCAGGATCTCAGACTGGGCCGAAGGTTCACCTTCCAATGGGACAATGACCCTAAGCACACAGCCAAGACAATGCAAGAGTGACAACTCTGTCCCAACCAGATCTTTGACATGAAGCCAATCCAACACCTCTGGAGAGACCTGAAAATGGCTGTCCTCAAATCTGTAATCGCTGCCAAAGATGTTTCAACTAAGTACTAAAAAGGGTACTTAGTTGGGTAAAGGGTCTGAATACTTCTGTCAATGTGATGTTTCAGTTTTACCTTTTTGATAAAAATTCTAAATTTCTATTTTTGCTTTGTCATTGTGGGGTAGTGCGTGTAGACTGATGACGATTTTAGCATAAGACTGCAACATAACAAAATGTGAAAAAAGTGAAGGGGTCTGAATACTTCTTGAACGCCCTGTATATACATAATTCAACTGAACATGACCAACTTTAAATCAACTCTAAAGTACAAAGCCAGTACTGTGTTTCCCAGTGTTGCTCTGTATTATAACCAGTGCAAGTTTCGATCAGGTTGCTGCATTCCTTTACCCATGTTAACATGTTAATGACTGTGAGGATTTCTTTCCGTTTCCCCCTCTGTTCTGGATATCTGTCAGTGTCTGCTACTTCTCTCAGAGCTGACGATATGTTTGTCTCTCACTACATCTGTCTGCATGTACAGTATGTATGTCTTTCTCCAGGTTTCACGATGCCAACAGAAATAACCAGTGGGCCAACTTTCGGATTAGATCAGAGCATGACTCAGAGGTAATTACCAGAGATTTTTATCTGTCTTCTAGGCTGCACCTCCATTACTGTAGAAACACAATACTGAACAAGAAAGGAAGGACGAGGAGGAGGGCAATGACATTATGCTTCTCTTTCATCTCTCGGTAGACTGTGTCTTCTAAATGGTTTCTTGTTCACATTCTCTCTTGCAGGTAAACTCTCTTTGATGCATACTTTTCAGTTAGTATTAACAGGCAAAAAAGGCAAAAAAGACCTCTCATTTTCATCAAGTCTAAGAAATCAGACATATGACCACTATGACATCCAAAAAAGAAATTCAACCTGAAAGTCAACCTGATGACTGAGGCAGAGACTGAAGAGCCTTTTCACTGCTCATAAGCAAAGTAAGGCAGATTAAATTATTACTATTAGCACCTGTGTGGTGGAGAGAAATGAGTAATGGGGACACAGCGGACAGCAGCTTGGTCGGGCCAGGCAGACAGAGTGTAGCATGGCCAGGACATCGGGGAAACATCAGCAATCATGTCTGACAACCCCGTTGGGGATTGAGGAGCAGGAAATGGAGATGGATGGGGGGAAAGCGGGAGAGCGAGAGAAGGACAGAGTGAGACATCAGCAGAGGAAGACAGAGAGACATGGAGGAATGCAGCTACTGCTCCAAGCCTGAAACCCCTTGATCCGCCAAGTCTGCTCTTCTTCCCCCTTGTCTCAACCACAAGCTTGAGGATTCCTCACGCTGACTGGCATGTGGGCTTCATCTCCACAAGGAGAAGAGGAACGTCTGGGTGTTTGTTCCCTGATTGATTATCACGGACTCGGATCTGATCAGTGATTTGGAGGAACACTGAAATAAGACAACATCAGGAACGGCTAAACAAATAAGGGATGGATTTATAGTGCTTTAATGTGAACCGCAGACTTGCGTCTGATAAATGGATCAACTGTTAAATGCATGTTTTCATAGCTGTCTTCTTGGTAATTGTGTCCATCATCTCTAATGCAAAACATCTACTCAGTGTGCTCTATCCATCAAACAAACATGTTGTCAGTTAGAAAAACTCAACCAGCACTTCCTTCTCTACAAACTGCAGCTTTACAATATTTCAGCATCTGGATAGTACAGTATCTGGTTGGTCGAACAGCTGACTTCTTTGGTCCACACTGAAATATTTCAACAACCATTGGATGGATTGCTGTAAAATTTTGTACTGTCATTCATGGTCTCCGGAGGATGAAACCTACAGACTTTCATCCCCTGACATTTACTTTAGCGCCACCAGCAGATTGACAGTTGTGGTTCAGAGTGAAAGGTCTTCACCACTGCTGACTGGGATACCATATAATTTGGTGGAAGACGTTCATGGTTCATGATCCCCTGACTTCTCATATAGCACCATTCAAGTTCATTCACTCCAGCAGGTCCAAACTAACATTAACCTTTCCTAACATGAACCCAACTGCTTTAGCAGAACCAAACAGCTTAAGACCTGTTAGAGGGTCACAGAAAGTCTAAGCAGCCAAATAGGGTTGTATTAGAACAAAGTTTGTTATCATACTTGCAATAGTCAGACTAACCAGCACTGTGATATAATAGTAATTTCTTTTTTGTTTTTTGCCTTTATTTTGATATCCATAGTGATAGAGAGAGAGAGAGAGAGAGAGAGAGAGAGAGAGAGCGGAAAGTTAGGGAGAGAGAGGGAGGGGATGAGAGGCAGCAAAGGGCCACAGGTTGGACTCAAACCTGGGCCGCTGTGGTTAGGACTAAGCCTTTAAGGTACGCGTTGTACCAGGTGAGCCACCAGGGCGCCCCACAATGCTGTTTCTTAATGTCCATGACTTCTACATAGATCTAGAAGTGGTAATGAGCTTTTTCTGGAACATATAGCTTTATCTTCAGTCTCTAGCACAATATCATGTATGAAGCCATCAAGTGCATATTTAAGACTCCGATTATTGTTTTCACAGAAGTCAGCAAACAGCTGACAGGCAACAAACAGCACACTTTTGCCCTCAAATTAATTTGTCATACTGCGATTGCTACACCTGAAAGTTATGTGGGGCAATCCAAATTTCTGTTTTAATAGCAGCTGAGGTAGAAGAGAAATACACTACACAAGTAGTCAGTGTTAATCATGGATGTCTAAGTACAAAAAAAAACAATCTGACAGTGTAAAAACAAGAGAGTAATAAGATTTGTTTTGTGGGACCTGGAACAGCTCATCTCTGATAAAAGAAACATTCCAGCCTATTGTGGTTTGGGAATTGCAACAGCTGCTGTGATTTATGTTTTTCAATCAGCGGTGGCACCATTAAGTCACACCTTCACCTCTCTATCAAAATATGATGGAATGCATTTTAGACTGAAAGCCCCGTTAACCAGCTGGTCCATTTTCACGTACACTTTCGAAACATTGTCAATACCCCCACTGGCCTGCAGAAGCCATCAGTGAAATGCAAGCTACTTCTAAGAACAACAAACGCTGCCGTTGCGTCCATAGCATGGCAGAGCAAAGGCCTGCAATATCAGATCCACAGCTGCTACGCCGATTTCATCAGAGCAGCCTGCATTTCCACACTGTGGCAGAGTAAACAAGTCTGAAAGAATACCAAGCGGAAAGGTGCGGGCCGCGAGGAAAACCATAAGGAAGCAGATACCCATCATCTACTGCACCTATCAAACTGGCATATCACAGAGCTATCTAAAAATATAACTTAAGCCATGAATTACCATGGATGTGAGTGTATGGGTGTGTGTGTGTGTGCTGAAGGTACAGTTTGTAAGGAGGGAAAGTGGTGTGTTTCTGTTTGTACGTGCCCACACAACCTCACCTATAGGGGCTGGGCAGAAACTGTGTAGGGATCTAATGCAGGTCTGTTTGTATAACCTTGTGTCATCAGGCTAAAACCTCTAGCTCCCCACACGATAACAGCAACTGTCTGACATTAGCTGATAATCTGACTGGAGAGAGGAGAACAACAGCCCATCTGTGCGTATGTGTTTGGGCATGTCCACCACTTTTTACTGATGCAACTGCTTTCTCGATACAAACAGATAAAACTGATACACTACTAAGTTTGTGTCCCCAACCACAAATCGTCCTTATGGGATCTGCAAACTTTAATACTATAAATCTTTTGATGAACATTTTAAAGTAGTCAGTTTGGTACTATGTGCTTTTCAAACGCAGCAACCTAGGTCCAATAGTGATTGAGAGACTAGAGCTGAGGTTCATGTCCCCATCCCAAAAAGTCACTTGCTTCAGAGGTAGTACTGTCCAATGACCTAGGAACTATTAAGGGTCATACTGCTGAACCAGTCAAAAACACACACTGCTACAGGATCACAGAATTCAGACTGCAAAGAAACAGTTGTTACTAATATCAGTATTATGACCTGGTAGAGGGAGCTCATTGAATGTAAGAAAAGACTTTCTCAAAAGAAGATTAACAGTCTATGTCCATGCGAGAAACTCCGTTCTCTGAGCTAAATACCAGTGCCAGCATTAGAGCTACACTGATAAAATCTGCCAGGCCAATATATCAGCCAGTATCAGCTCATCGTAGATATATCGGTGTACATGTCAGCTGCCCCCCTGCACTTTTCAAACTCTTTAAGTAACAAGAAATTGCCATAAAGAAGTGCCAACATTTCTCTGAGGCAAATTAGAAACACTATTAGATAGTTTGTCCACCAGTGAGGACAAATTAAAATTTTGACCTGACAATGATGCTGGATGAAAGTCAGGGGATCACCAAAGTTAGTGCAAATTATCATATTGGGAACATGAATGTCTGCACCAA